GTTTATATTATAAACATATAATATATATGTATATATATGTTATTTTTATAATAATAAATAATGAAAAACGACATACCTACTACAAGAAAAAGTTATAATAAAAGTTATAACTATGTTAGAGAGTCAAACCTCATCACAACGCTGTAGTACAGTTTTGTTACAAGGTGACAGAGTGATAGACCTAAGAACCTACATTATAAGATTACCTGGTATCATGTTTACATTGACACCTCATAGCGTGGCCCCGTATGACGTGCGATTATACCGATGATGTAGAAATGCATACTTCAGAATACCCACTTATTATAAACAAGGCAGATGGGAACCTGATCGACAAGCAACAACCTATTGGTATCAATTTCAACGCCTGAGCGGCACTAATAATTTTTGGGAATAGCGGAGAAATGTGCCAGTGCGACCTCCAAATAATCTGCTAACTTTCTTCAAGATTGCCTTGCTCTCGCACATTTACCACTTTTACAAATCGTATAAAAAACGATAATGATCGTAATTATTAGCCGGGTTTAGACCACAGTGCGTGTAACTTGTAAGACCAGTTCGTGTGGAAGCGTGGTCATGATCGAGCAATTACAGATTTAGATTCTTTTCATTTAAATTTGGACACAGATAACTGTCTGCCATATGACAGATATTACAATATGACTCAGTATGTTTTTATTTAGCAATGAGACATTTAGGTAATGATAAATATTATATACTATGTACACATTATTTGCAATTATTTATACTCGCATATCTATTAAATAATGACATATAAAATAGAAAACCGCACCGTTTAATTCTTTGATCAACTCATTTATTTCCAAAAGAAACAGTTTTTAAATATAAATTACCCGAGGGCGTAGGCCCTATCTCTTAAAATAATATTACTTTAAGCTTACATTGACTTCTCGTATCATGGTGTGCTTAAAGCAAGTTTATTATAATGTTAAAACTATGATTTTTTATATGCAGCTTAGTGGCGATTCATTTACTCAATTCAAAAATTTATTCATTTCAT